TATATATATATGTGTGTGTGTGTGTGTGTGTGTGTGTGTGTGTGTGTTGTGTGTGCGTGTGTGTGTGTTGTGTTGTGTGTGTGTGTGTGTGTGTGTGTGTGTGTGGATTTGTGGGCGTGTGTGTGTATTTGTGGGCGTGTGCATGTGTGTACGTACGTGTATAAAAGCACAATGACTGAATATTCATGGACAAAGCGCTCAAAATGATACTGTTTTCAAATGCACGAGTTGTTTGCCGAAAAGGCTGCTCGTGTGCATGTAATCGTGGTTACATCTTTGATGTCATTATCCCATGGATGATCTACACAAGCCTCCCCTACACCGACACACGCACAGATCTTACAGTTGATCACACAAGCAAGATTATACAAGTGAAGAGCAAATGCAGCCATATTTCCTTTTTCGATGAACTCCAAACGACGACTATTGACGGTACAATCCTACCTGTAGATGCCATGTCTGTGGATCTGGAGTTGTCCCCGACGATAATGTAGCTATAGACAGCGAGTGGATCAACGTACCGAATCTAGCCCAGTATTCTGTATGATATCGGCAGGGTCTTTACTGTGACTTACTGATTCATTATCAATCTGAATACGAAATCTATCAGCAAATATACATTGTAAGTCATACAATGTAATTACATAAATATATTCAGGACAAACAAATGTATCCAACAATCCTTGGGTTTGCTTGACCCAAAACTGATAAAACCCACGTGCAGATTCTGATTGGAAGAATCATCAGGTTGCCCGGCTTGTTGTATATATTTTGCATGCACGCGCAATTAAAAGATGTCTAAGTCCGTACGTCGTGATTTACTGATTTCAGACAAAATGTCTAGTGATTACACACAGGGTATGTAGAAATTACATACAGGGTATGTAGTACTTACATACAGGGTATGTAGTACTTACATACAGGGTATGTAGTACTTACATACAGGGTATGTATGTAGTTTAAAATAGACAGGGTATGTACTATGTAGTACTTAAATACAGGGTATGTATGTAGTTTAAAATACACAGGGTATGTAGTAATTACATACAGAGTATGTAGTGATGATACACAGCGACTGTATTCATACAATTGATCTTTGTATACATAGATTGCAATGTGGCCGCAGCGGTTATATACAACGATCTAGTAGCCTGAATTGTTCATATGTGAAAATATGTAGCTATCCTACACAGGGCCAAAAAAACCCCCCATCTACTAGTTAAAGTGTTCTTGTACTAGAAAACAGACGTATGAGCCCGCCTAGCATTGTGTCACAGTTTAGTTGCCGCGTGTATGTAATCGCTGGAGATGAAATGACTTTTGTGCATTTTTTCGGTCCAAATACGAAAAATGAAAATCAATCTGCAGCAATAATATGATTTTCAGTCGCGTACAGGGAATCAAAATCATATTGTCATACACAAGTATCCGAATAATCATCTATTAAAATAGAGTAACTGAAAATTGGACGACTTTCCACTGCACGTGCTATGTTTGATTGTGAAATTCAGGTCAGTGTGACCACGTATATTCTAAACAACTTTTCAAATCGGATCGTTGAGCCGCATCTAGGCGCATTAAGAAGAATTGTTTTTGGACCGTAGTATATAGTAAAGTCAAGATTGAATCGTTGTTCGACCCTCACGATACAAGAAATTTGCCATTTTAATATCAACCTAGGAATCAAATCAAATTCATTTGTTTGAGTATAAGAAGTGCACTGATTCCAAGTGAAAGTGCCATTACTCTATATCAATATGATATCTTTGCACTTCCAGCTGACAGTCAGCAGTCCATCATCACATAGTACATTTTGTACATATTGGCTTAGTTTGGCTTGCAGATCAAGATTGTCCCAAAGGAAACGATACTATGCCATTGCAAATTTATAAGGGATGGTTCCGTTGTTGAATACAGAATAATATGTTGCGAGTGAGCTTGTTAGGGTCAACATGGTCTTGTACGAAACTGTGAGTAGCCGCTCAATAACCGCTCTGTTATCAGAATTGAAAGTGCATAGGTTTGTTCTAGACCAATGACAAACTATCAGTGTAATTGATTGTGCAACAAAGATACGAGCAAACATGATTTCACTGTTATATTTTCCTTGATATTTTTAATGTTAATTGTTATATCGAGTTATCGTTATGAACTACATCCAGTCAGTGGAAAAAAATTGGTTCGGTTTGAGACCTCGAGATCTGCTGCCTGAACTGAGCTTGAAATTTCGATTACAAAATGATACCAATACATTTGTCATCTGACTCCCCGACGGCCTTATTGTTATCAGGCATTTGCGTGGGATGGGTGATAACTAATGATGTTAAATATAAGCACTTTTAAAGTAGAAGTATCAATGTATTGTTCCATGTCACCAGAGTCCAGACTTTTCATTATGTGACAAAAGTATATTCTTTTTCCCAGCTTCTTGCCAAACATAATGACCGCTATCATAAAAGTTTATTATAAAGTGGATCCTTACAAACAGAAATAAATACCATTTTGGGACCCACAATGCATACCACGATTTGCTGTTGATAATAAAATATTTCAAATGATCAACAATGGTTTGTTTTGTTAAAAAACTAAAAAGACAGTCAGCCATCTGCATACCGCACTGTAAAATTAAACTGTGCCTTCATTCGAGAATTCGCAGGAGGCCTAAAAAACTATCATTGGTGGTTGTTAAAACAACAATTACACAATATTTATATCGACATCACCAACTTTTAACATCGGAGCGGTAGTCGACCCATCGACCCATCGTATCGGTATTCGGTAAACCCATGCAAATAGCCAGTTGCCAAATGGCAAACAAATGCCGATATGTGCGATGAGTCGATGACCGAATTCACGTTGTTGTCTGTATTAACTAGTAACTAGTAGTAGTAGACTGTAGACTGTAGTGTAGTCTGTTTATAAAAAAAATAGTAAATACCGATACGAATAGTCGATGAGAACGATATAAATCCCAATTCGCCTCTACGCAGTATGCATTCCACACTCCACAGCAAATAATTGACTCCGCGAGCAAATATGTAGAATAAATATATATGACATATGTAGAATTGGATCTGATCTAGAGTAGAGAGTAGTAGACAATACCCTATCTGATTAGTAGTTCGACAGAACAAAAACCGCGAGCCAGGCTGTCAACAGTTGAACTGTCAGGAACTGTCAAACAGTGACAGTGTCAGCCTGTCAGGCTGATCACTGTTCAGAGTTCACTGAGTTCAGTGAACTGAATGAGCATTGAGCAGGCCAGCCCTAAAAGCCTAAAAGCCCTCATGACATATGTGGCCTCAGGCCCAAGGGCCAGCCTAACTTCAACTAAGGCCCTACATATTTACCTGGCCCGGAGTCCCCGGACCCCTAAGCCCTGGGCGGGACTGTTATTTTTAGACTTTGGCTTTCTTTTACGCGGGCTATAGATTACAACCAACCAAAACGACGCTGTAATTGCTGTACAGTGGGCTGCATAAGTACTATTTAGTTGCAAAATGTGCAATCACCTTGTAAATAATTTGTTTATATATAAAAACAAACACAAAAGAGGGGGTAGAGAGGATACTTACGAGCCTGCTCGGTGATCACTCTCCAGAATACAACTATTCACACCCCCAGGCCCCAGCCCCAGGGCCTAGTTACATACCAGTACTAGCTGCATCAACTTGATCTAGATGTGCTGCTTAATAGAACTATGTACAGTAGAAACTGCACAACGACAACATGAAGGTACTTATTTATTTATTTCAAACATGTAGCACAAAAAAAATCACAGTTCTAACAATCAACGACCAGAGGTAAAACCAAAAT